GAAACCGTCTGCAGTCGGGAATTCTTGCTTCTTTGCCATCACGTTTGGGAGGCGAGCCTGTCTCCCCTGCAAGCAGGTCATTCTTTACTTTGTAACAGGTGGGTGTTCTTGGCTTCAGTGGGTATCATGAGAACATGTGTCTGCCCTGTCCCTTGGCAGTGGTCCAGTGGGTTTCAGGTGGACCTCTTCCTCCTGTGGCATTGTCAGGTGAAAGACGGTCCGTGGTTGTCTAGTCACATTCCATGGTGCTTTTGCTGAGACAACATGCCCTGGAATGGCGGAGCTGTTCCTGGCCCCCTCCCAAGGAAGGGGAGCGATCTGCCCCCCATAGCTGCCTCAGAAGCCGAAATCCAGGCCCTCCTTCCCCCTTGCACGTCCTGTGGTATACCCAGGGCTGGTGTGCCCCCACTCGCACTGGCTCCCCCAGTCGTCAAACACTAGAAGGTGTCCGCACGGAGAGGGAAGAGGCTGCTGCCACTAGCCAGCTCCCTCTACCCGTGAAAACCCACAGCACTTAACAGTTCTGCTTTGTTCTTGGGAAGAGGGTACTGAGGAGGCTTGTGAGAGTGCGTGAAAGGGAATCCTTAAATGTTTAGTTGAGATTTCATGAGATAGGGGCTGAGTCAGCCTTTTTCTGGTCAAATTCCCGATGGTAGAGCTGTTGTCCTTATAAAGCTATTTCAGAGCCTGGGTCGTCGGTGCGAGTAGATAAAACATGTGCTTGGTTCTCGAAGGCTCACCTCACTCCATCCCGTTGGCCAGGTCTGAGACTTCTGAGGCAGGGGCTGCAAAGCTGCATCCCCCCCATTCCCCGTCGACCCCGGACAAGAGAGCTGGAGCGAGGGCAGCCCGGAGCTGCTCGCCCACCCCAGCCCCACCCACGTCTGCGAGCAGAGGGAGCCTGAGCACCAGCCAGCCCCCACCCTCACCTTGCGGAGAGTGGCGTTGGAGGCGAAGTCACCAACGGCGGCCGCTGTGATGCCAGGGCTCGCGGGAGGCTTCTTCCCCACGTGAGCTGCTGGCGACATGGTGCCGGGCTCTGTTCGCTGTGGAAGTCACCGAAAGCTAACAGTGCTACACTTGCATAGAAGTAATGCATTTTATGAAGCAAATATGAAAGTTTGGGATTTGCCAGCTGGCCTGGGCAGGTCATAAAGAAGCAGAAAACGCCACAGAGAAGCAGCCCAGAGTTTCTTGGCCAAAGAGCAAAGAAATGCAGCTACGGGCAACCGCGAGGTGGCTTGTGGGTGGAGTCAAGAGTCAGAGCGAGCTGACAGTTGGGGTGACTGCCTTGCACAGGATGTCACGAATGTCAGCTTCTTAAATGATGTCCTCCGTTGTTTCTAGAAACCGCTGTTTGGTCAACACTCATGAGTTTCAGCTCTTTTCGTCAAAGGATGTCTTAAGATGGATATTTATGAAAGTTATACGACTAGGTACACAACACTGGACCTTACTGGTTGGTGAGAGGGTAAGGCAGCAGGGGACACTTGCACATTCAGTGGGGCCTGCAGTTCAAGACCCCCTCGGTGGCCCCCGTGCTGCGTTGTCCCGGTAGGTTAGGTCAGTGGCTCTCAACAGGGGTGATTTTGTCCCCCAGGGGCATTTGGCAGTATCTGGAGACACTGCTGATTGGCACTAGCTGCGAGGGGGGACATTGCTCCTGGCATCCGATGGGTCGAGGCCAGGAATGCACTAAATATCCTACAGTGCCCAGGACAGCCCCCATGTCAAGGAACTGGCTGACCCAGATGCCTTTGGTGCCAAGGTTGAGGTCTCTGGATTAAGTGGAGCAATGAGTGTTTTCAAGAAAAAAATAGGGAAGCCCAATGGATGACTTTGGCCAGTAGCAAACATGTCTCCTGCAGTTGCATTCTCTGTGACACTGGAGAGAGAGGATGCGGTCTTTGTTTTCTGTGGTGTAACTGCTTCTTGCTGGACCGGGTGACAGAAACGAAGACCCAGCTTTCATCTGATGTGTCACACAGAGGGCCCAAGGGACATTTCTCTTTCATTACCTGTTGCAATTTTCAGTAGAGAGGATTGCGTTGGTAGATTTGCCTTACAGGGAAGATGTGTTTCTGAAAAATTGTGTGCAGTGAATCACATCTTAAATATAATCAGGAAACTCAGTAAGCATTGGTAGCCAGTGAATCTTTTTAAAGTGAAAAACTCCTGTTTGCACAGAGGAACACACCTGTATGTTACATTTTAGTGTAGGTGTTTTTATTACAGCACTCCATACGTCGTACATAAGAGGACGGTTTCTCTTTCTCCTTCCTTTTCAGGCCCTTACTCTTCTTCCCTTAAAGAGAAAATCCAGGATGAGGAGGGGGAGGACTGTAGACTTTCTGAATGTGGAAAGGCCGTTGACCAAGCAGTCCATACCCCAAGTGAAGAGATGCCTGCCGGGTTACAGATTGTTAGAAAATAGAACTTGGTTCTCCTCTGAGATCATTAATTGCTTTTATCTTGTGCCTTTCTTCAGTTTCTGACCTTTGGCTGGGAAGAGCAGGTGCGCGGCCTCTCTGTCACCTCGTGGGTGTTGGTTGCCTCAGCAGTGTCGATAAGGCTCAGTCTCCTCAGTCACTGGGGGCCTGGTATCAGCAGAGATACGGAGCCCAGGACTCGCCTCCGGTTCGGCCTCTGCCCTGAGTCGACCGCCCTAGGTGTGCAAACCTCCGACCGACCTGGCAGAGGCAAAGGGGCAGGAAGGAGAAGCTGTGGTGGAGAAAGCTGCCATCAGTGTCACTTTAGTGACAGGTTACAGAGCTGTGACCCAGTGGAACACCACTGCCACCCAGGAGGCACCGGAGGCTGGCTCTGACCTTCGGCCTTCCTGGAAGGAGGGAGCGGCGGGGGGAGGAAGCTACAGTGACCCTGCCACGTCCAGGGTAGCGCCAGTGTCCAGGAACCAGGTCCTGGCATCTCCTGTGAGGGGCGTGTCACACCTCCCGTGTGCATGGTCCTTTCACCTATGAACATGTTGCTTCGTCTTCTCCCACAACCAGTGGGGAGGAAGCAGCCACTGTGGGCACCATTTTACTGATGAGGAAATTAAAGTCCCAAGAGGTGACTGCTCACTGCAGAGAAAGATGTGAGGCCTGGCACAGACGTTCTGCCTAGAAGCCTGTGTCTGCCTGCACGATGGCACACTGCTCTTGCTGGAGTGACCAGGCAGAGGCCCTGCAAATGTGGCTGCAGCAAGAGCCTTGGACAGGCTGTCCCAAGCCCCGGGGTCTGGTCCGAGCTCTGTCCCCAGCCCACGGCGTTCCTGGAGGACGGTCACGAGTCCTCTTGGGGCCAGTGTTCTCATCCAGGCATCAGGGGTTGACCGAGACATGGTCTGTTGTATTAATGACAGGTGAAGTCAGGCTGAGGCGAAGGCTCCTGGGAAGGCAGCAGGCAGCTGCGGGCATCCTGGAGGAAGCGGGCTTGTGTTGGTCAAGCACTTGGCACAGCTAAGTGCCACCGTGTTGGCACGGGGGCTCACGGTCCCCGTGGGGCAGGTGCTAGCAGTGTCTTCCCGCAGCAGGTGCAGGAGGCAAAGCTCCAGAGGGTGGGGTGATTTGGTCTGGGTCTCTGTCACGCCTGCGTGGACTGCCACGCAAGATGCTGCAGGCTGGGCAGCACAAGTGACAGGCGCGGGTTGCCACAGCTTTGGGGGCTGCCACTGCTGGCGGGCGGGCTCCTGGCAAGCCTCCTCCTGGCCTGCGGTGGCTACTCTGTCCTCACGCGACGTGGCCCTTCCTCTGGGCGTGGCAGGGAACTGGCTCTGCGGTCAGCGGTCCTGCTAGAAGGGTCTCCCCTCAGGACCTCATTTAACCCTCGTTACCTCCTCAGCACCTATCTCCAGCCACACTGGGCCGTCCCACAGGGTCCCAGGGACACAGTGCAGTCCGTACCAGGCCTGTCGTCGGTCGGGAGCTGGAGCCCCTCAGGGTGTCCCGTCACCCCGTTGTGTCCTTGGCCAGAGAGTGGCCAGGGTGCCGTGACAGCCCCGTCTTGCCCCACTGCGGGTCTCTCCTTCCAGGCTGCTGTCTCCTGCGCAGTGTGGGTGGGTCGGTGGCGGGCTGGGAGCAGTATCCCCTGCCCAGGACCGAACCTCAGGAGGCCATGGGAGGCATGGGGCAAAGGGCTGAGCCTGCGGGTCTGGCTCCCGCCCAGCCCTCTGCGACCCCGCGCGGATGCCCCTGGTGCTGCTGACGGAACAGAACCTGCAGCCCGACCCTCGGCTCCCAGCATGAAGGCGGTGGCAGGACGAGGCTTCGGTGCCCGCCGGCGGCCCTGCCCTGGGTCGCTGACTGCGCTTGGCGGTGACGGGGTCTGGGGCTTTGCGGCGAAAACAGGCGATGCAGGCGCCGGTGCAGACTCTCCGGAGCCACGCGGTGTGTGTAGTGTCCCCTGGAAGGTCTCCTGTGTGAACTCCAGTACCGGCCGTGGGTGGGAAGGACGTGTCTCCATCCCCACTTCCTCGTGCTGTTGTGTTGCGCTTCTGCTGTAAAGGCAGGAGGCCTTTCCTAATTTAAGAAGACACAGGAGTCAGTAGACACAGGATGCCATTCCGGGCATGAAGTGTGTTGTTTCGCCTTTTCAAACTGTCAGGTAAAAGCACGCGCTCCCAGAGCACCCTTGGCTCGTGCTAGTGACGTCACACTGGGGTGTCCCCGGGTGCGGAGCGAGTCCACGCGGCATGTCCCTTGTTTTCTGTCACTTCACCAGAGAGTCACTGCCACACTCTGTTCTGAATGGAGCACGTCCAGCACCGTGTCCCCCCTCGCTGTGACCAGGTTTGTGGGGCGGCTCCCCATGTGTGCGCCAACGATGGTTCCAGTCAGGAAAGCAAAAGGTTTTCATCCATTCCTGGGATCATTTCTCTTCCCGGCGGCAGGGTCGTCCCAAGCCACAGAGGCCCCGGCCCGTGTCCCCAGGGCCCCGGCCCGTGCTTGGGTCTGGCCAGCCTCCGTCTTGCTCATTCTGTCCGTGGTTGGCTTTTGCAGGTGTGAGAGCTGCGGAGCTGTTTTCCATTCCGAATGCAAAGAAAAGTCAGTCCCCTGCCCGAGGTGTGTCCGCCGGGAGCTGCAGAAGAAGCAGAAGTCCTTCTGGCAGAAGCTGGACGTGGACGAGAGTCTGGAGGAGGCCTGCGCCCTGTTCGAGCTGTCCTGCCAGAACACCTGACCTGCCCCCGTGGGCCAGGACTCCGTCACGTGCGTCAGCCTAGCATGGCCTCCAGCCAGCCAGACCCTTATGGAAGGAGAGTGTGTCTCCTTTTCAGCTAGACATAGATGTAGAGTCACTTATGCATATACTCGCCTGTAAGTCCCTCACATATGCTCTGTACACCGTTGTCTACAAGGTCTGCAGAGCCTCTGTGGCTTGAAAAACTGTCCGCAGCTGAATCCCACCTGGCCACTATCACAGCTGCTCGCTCCCAGGCGCACGTGGTGTACAAACAGTGCTTTATAGGTCAAACATGTTTTTCTGTCTCTTGGGGAATTCTGTCACACGAGACATAGGAGGGAGCTTTTCCTGCAGAGCAACAGTGCTTCGGGTTATTTTTGTGTTTTTTGCTTTTACCCTTCACAGAGGCCGAGGTAGCTGAGGCAGGCAGCCATCGTCCTCTGTTCCGAAAGAAAACCTTCAGCATACAGGCATGACTCCAGGGCCATTCCAGGACCTGGTGTCCCAGGCTCCAGCCTCAGTTCCTCCCCAGAGCCAGAGTGTGCAAGTGCCCTCTGACAGAAAGCAAGCACCCTAATTCACGAGGCAGCTGGTCCAGTGTTGAAGTTCATCTCAGAAAGCTTTCTTCCTGAGAAAGGAAGGAGCCTCTGCGTCCAGTCACTGTGTGTTGTGGGCTTCTTTGTGGGTACGAGTCCAGTGCTCGCCTCGTGATGGGACACTCCACTGTGTTTGCCAGGCTACAAACGTGGCTCTCCAAGAACAGCCTTCCTGGGGTGTCACGCTGACATTCATGCTTTTTCCTGAGAGTTTTGAGACGACATCGCTTGTAGACAGGTAGATGAGGTGCATGGGACGCGTGTGCGGGAGATGGAGTCTGGCTTCTTTTCCTGGAACCCTGCGTAGGCAGTTCCTACCTGTTCCTCTTGAGTGCTTCCTTTCCCCCTGTTCTTTCCTGCATGTCCATCTTGACTTTAGTTTGTCTATTTAACCACTCTTGCTTTCACCTTTTTCAGTTGTTTGAAAGATCACAGCAACATGGAACTTCAAAATACCAACTTTAGACTATTAAGAAAATCCCAAACATACAAACATAATTAGTGAATTCAATCTGATGTTGTTTAAATACACACACACGCACACGCACGCGCACGCACGCACACACACATAATTGCCACCTTAAAGTAAAACCAAAAGTGCTAAATTAAGTAAGAGGATAGAAATAGGAAACGTAGGCTCCCATTCCTTCCACCAACGTTCTTTCTAGAACAGGAAAGCCCACTTTCAGGGAAGCAGCTCTCAGCAGACTGTGTGAGATGGTCTTGGCACTGGGCGGATGCCTTCCATGCCCTCGTGGCAGGGCAGTTTCCCAGCTGCTGGAATCCAGGATCGCCGGCTCAGAGTGCACGGCACCTTCCGCCTGTGGCTCCTTCCGGCAGCCCTGCTCCCTCCAGGTCCCAACTCACGGCACTTCCATCCACTTGAAGATGCGGCACTCTAGGCTGACTTGTGCATTTTGCTTCCCAACCCACACCAATTCCTTTGGCCCCACCACACGTTTCAGCTTAACAGCTCAGCGCCACGCATGCATTTATTTTCTGATGATACAATAGCCATGACCAAGGCATGGAAACGTGTTAAAAGGCCAAGGCGCTATGCATGAGATGCCTCGCGGTGCCTTTCAGTCTTGGAAAAGCAAGTGGACATCCCCCACTCTGGTTCTGGAGAATGCTACACACAAGAGAAAAGTGTGGAAAGTCTTGGACCCTTGGCAAACCAATCTGGTCAGCTCCTTTCCTCCTCCCACCCATGAAATACAGCCTGTATCTTTTCCAGCTCAGAGAACATAGCAGAACGTGATCTTTCACAAGAGAATTGCAGACCCGCTCATCAGGAAACGTCGTGCTCCACGGCCAAGTGCCTTCTCCCTCTGCCCCGGCTCCCTGTCACACAGCTCGCCTTTGCCCACGCTGTCATTGCTGCCTCCGCGATGCCGGCGGGCAGCGAGGCCGCTCCCAGCCACTGCACCGGGAGACCTGCAGCGCCGGCCCGCTTCCTCCCCTTCTCACGTGTCTGCTCCAGGCGCAGAATAGCTGTCCCAACTCACAGGCACCCAGGCCAGACCCGCCCAGCGTTGAGGGGGAGACTCCGGATGCCTGTTAAAAGCAGCCCTGTTGGCACCAGTGCCCGTGGGGAGGGGCCTGCTCCATCGGGCCAGCCCTGAGAGCTCCGGAGGACTTCCCGCTCGCATGGCGCCGCTTCCTTTCCCAAGAGAAGCAGCTAGAAGCACTGTCACCATCGGCTACCCAGAGCCGGGACCCCATCCCAGATGGTCGTCCGCTGGCCTTTGTGTGTAGCCCTGCCAGCCCGGCAGGCTGTGGGCCCACGATATTCGCCGCTGCCACAGGCCGACAAGACAGAGCACAGCAGCTTAGGCGTCGGGTCTGCTGTGAAGTTCAAACTGCTGTTTCCAGCCCAGGCACCTTAGAGCATGTGAGCGCCCTCGCTGTTTTCACCTGGCCACGTCCCTTGGTGCATGCTGGGCATTGTCCGCCTCCTGCCCAGAAACTAGGAGCCACAGCAGAGCTGTGGGCTGGCTCCTCTTCGCGACCGGCCAGCGCCTGCTTTCCCCGGGTTCCGCCTCTCGTCCCTCGTCGAACATCTCGCACCTCAAGCACGTGCAAAAACGGCCCAGTAACCCCCTGGCGCTGGCCGCCAACTCGGAACCACTGTTCACTGAAAGGCCATTCCCTGGGGCCTCACGGGGACGCCCCTCCTAAAGGGCCAGAAGCTTGAGGGTGAGACTGGTCAGACGTTGGCGTCTAACCTGGCGGAAAAGAGGCCGCTTCCTGCCGTAGGCCCGTCACGCACAGCTGTGGGAAGGCCTCAGCACTTGGAAGTGGCGCCAGCTGGGGGCTGCTGTCACCACAGCTGGCGCCGCGTGCGGTGAGCGCACACAAGCTCTCGGCAGCCCCTTGGCTGCCCTGCTTCTTCAGGGACAGTCTGAGGATGGCTTTCCTGTCTGCAGGGCTCAAGGCCTTCGTGCTAGGAGCTCTGACGCTGGGTAGCTGAGCAGGCTGTCCCCATTTGGCTCCCCTAGACTCAGCCTCCCCCAGGCAGGGAACACGGCAGCTTGGGACCTGTGGTTTCCAGCATGGTGGTGTCCTGAGCCGGGACTGTGCCAGGACAGCTTTGTGTCACTCTGCTGCCAAAAGCAGCCTTTGCCAAGCTGGAGTGCGCCCTCAGAGAACCTGGCCTGTTTCCCTCTCTGCATCGTGTGCACACACTGACCATTCGCACTGGGCAGTTTCTGTGCCTCCTCAGAAACCGGGTCTGTTCTCCACCCATTGGCCCAAAGAGGTCATCCATGAGCTAGTCTATCAGGGAGAGACCAGCGTGAGGCCTCCCAGGCTGGACGCAGCGTAGAGGCGCTATCGCACGCGGGTGAAGCCAGGGCCCACTGGCCTGTGTGTGTGGGAGGTTGTCCCTCCCGACTGGTCTGCCACGCTTTGTTGGAATAACTGGATTATGACATAAATCTTCAACTCCTGATTCAGGTACCGCCTGACTTTAGCACAGAGGCTTTTTATTTTATCTTTCTCTCATGTGTGCAATGTAGAGACATGTGCAATTTTTGACCGTTTTATTTCTTGTGTTTTCTGCCCCGCTTCCCTTCTTAGTCTGAACCGATGTGGAAACGTAGGGAGCTCTGGGAAAGACTGGAAGAGACGGGCACCCCTCCTGGCATGCGCTGAGTGTGGCGGCATCTCCCTTTCCGTTTGTGGGGCTTGCGGGTGCCAGCACTTGGGGTGTGGGCCACACTCCCTGTGCTGCTTCTGCCCAGACTCTGGGAGCTAGCTGCTCAGGTGGAAGCCAGCAGTGATGGTGAGCCCTGCTCTGTGAGTCCAGCCAGCCCAAGGACAGTTCAGTCATGGGGCAGGGTCTTGGCTGCCCTGTCTCAGCACCCTGTGGTCTCCTTCCTGGTGGATGGGTCTCATTTCAGTGGGCTCGGAAATCTCTGACACACGAGTTTTTCTTTGGTGGGTTTAGAGGGCGCGCGGCAGAGGTAAAGTCTGAGTCACCAGCCCACTCCGGACCACAGGCAAGAGAGAAGCATGGAATAGCCTCCGAAGTGTGTGTGCAGCGGTCGGGGTGTGCTCCAGGGGTCCCAAGTGACCATGCAGCGCAGCTCTGTCCTCGGAAGGGCGGTGCCTGCCCGCGAGACGCTCCCGAGGGAAGCTGGCCATCACCCAGGTAGAAAGCCCGGCAGCTCCGCACCTGCGGAGGCCTCCCCTGGCCGCACCTGCTCCTCCTTCCCCGGCCTTCCGTGCCCCTGACTGGGAGCCAGCCAGATGCAGGCTTCGTGGCTCCGGAACCTGCAGGTGGCCCCCTGGGGCCTCCCGTGTTCTCTCCCCGTAGGAGTGCCTTATCGTGCCCAGTCTGTGGACCCACTGGAAGCCCGCAGGACCCCCAGCTGCGTCTGGACCCCTCGCTTCTCCCTGGCTGGCTGCTCTCCACACAGATGCGCGTGGAGCTCACGCACTCCGCGACACGTGCTGGGCCTTCCCCTTTGAACCTGGTGCCTTAGCCCTCCGGTCAAGGGGTTCACGTGGGAAATGCGTGTGAACGCAGAGCGGCGCCGACTCTGGCTTCTTAGTGCTGTTGGCACCGTGACCCGGAAACACAAAAGACAGCCACACGGCGTCTCCGCCTGGTTTTAGTCTTCTGATCACTCTTTTTGTTTGTTTCCTTTCATCGACCAGACTCAGGGGAACGTCATGCTGTCACCAAGGCTGATAGGTAGAGAAATAAAACCAGCTCTCCAGAAGTGAAACTGTAAAGTCAGTGAACTTAGCCTTTTCCAGGTCCCCAAATTACACAAACACAAAGGTTTCCTTTTCTTTGCTGTATACAGGAGTTCTTTGTATTTTGCCATCTGTTTTCCACATGGGAGGTGGGCATCCCCTTAGGATAAGTTGTGACAAGCTGTCTCTGTGTGTGGCGTGGGCAGTCCACTGAGCTAGCCAGTTCGGCTTGGCTGCTGGAGGCCTGGGTTCTGATTGCAGTCACCTGCCAGATTCTTACTCTTGAGCTGGGCATGGTGATCCCTGTAGTAGGCTCACTACTGGGAGGCTGAGGCGGGAGGATCTCTTGGGCCCAGGAGTCTGGGCAATATAGTGAGACCTGTCTCAAAAAAGATAAACAGCAGCAGCGGAATCTTACTATGAATAGCTATTAGCCTGGCCTAGAAGACTTAAGAAAAGATGTGTCTCTTAGGACTAGCAGGTAGAGGAGGCAGTGGTCGAGCAGGGCTGGCACATGAGGACTGCTGACAGTGGCGATGTGGGAGAGCCCTGCGCAGCCTGTCCCCACGCTCCGGGGTGGGGCCGTGTCGTTATTTTCTTGCTTCCGCTCGTGCAGCACAGAACAGTGACATGTTGGGTTTGGGTTATCGTGTCACTCCGTGTGGAGCTATTGGTCACAGCTGACGTGCTGGCTTAGAGATACGCTCTTTCTGTTTTCTGGATTTTATTGCCCTTTGTTTTGTCATAACTTATTTACGTCTTTGTTTACATTATTTTTAAACATCAGTAACTGTAATAATACAAAATTGAGGTTGTATTGTTGACAAGACCTCTAGTTTGTAAGGTCGTCTGCCACATAACTTAAGCGCACCAGTTCCTAGTGTACACAGTTATCTCTCAATAAACAATGAGAAAGTACCTTCTATTCTTGTACAATTTCATTAAGATACTGTCCTCCAGGTGGATGATGAGAGCCCGAGGTGAGCCCTGCATGTGAATCAAAGCCAAGAGCTGAGCTTTACTGAAAGTGAGCTACGAAGATTTTGAGACACAGTGCGTCCCCACATGTGAACAAGTTCTGTTCCGAGCACATGATCCTAAGCCCAGTTTGCTTGTGAGTCTAACCGAGTTGGCCCAGGTGCCCAACGAGCCCCATCGGCACTGCCAGCTGCATCCCCCCTGCTTTTGCTCTTGCTTCCGGACGTCCTGGGCTTGAAATGAAGATACCGTAGTACTGTGCTCCATACAGTGTTGTATGGTGAAGCACATACAAGCACAACCACTTGTAGGGCATCCACGCACGTGACAACGTACACAGACACGTAAACTAGCTTACGTGATTGGACGTGCCGACACATGTTCACATCTTTGAAAGTTCACCACTTGAGGCCAAGCACTGTGGCACAAGCCTGTCATCCCAGCACTTTGGGAGGCCGAGGTGAAGGGATTGCCTGAGCTCTGGGGTTCAAGACCTCCCTGGGCAACTTGACAAGACCTCGTCTCTACAAGAAATCAAAAAATAATCCAGGTGTGGTGGGGCACACCTGTAGTTCCGGCTACTTGGAAGGCTGAGCCCGGTAGATAGAGGTTGCAGTGGCTGTGAGCATGGCACTGCACTCCAGCCTGGGCGACGGAGTGAGACTCCAACTCAAATAGAATAAAACAGAAAGTTCACAACTTCAAGGCCTGCATGTGGGGGACTTACTGTCTCTCCCCCTGTCTTTATTTTGTTCTAAATTCCTCAGCCTACAGTCTCCCCCTCAGCCCTTCCCATGCTGATGAAAATAGAGCACCCGGTTAAAAGGGGCTGATGTGGGGTCACGGGCCTTGTTTGCAGAACAAAGAAAAATCGCGTCTGGTTCTGAGAGCTGCCAGGTGCATGCTGGGAGTGTTCTGCCAAGCCTCTCCCCGCCCTTCCTCTCATTTTGCTGGATGGCCGAGTGCCAGGCAGTCAGCTGGGCGCAGACACTGGTGCTCCTGCCGCCATGTTTGGGAGCAAGAGAGGGTTGGAGTGTGAAGGGTGAAGAGCGGGCCGGGCTGGCGATGGCAGCCCTGGGCTGAGCCACGACGGGAGGGGCTGCACGCCCCACCTGGGCGGTCGCACCCTTGGGCCCAGAAGGCCACAGGGACCAACTGCCCGCCTGGAGCCTCTCAGAACCACCACTTAGCTCACGTTCCCCAAGGAAGACACAGAGAAGAGACAAGAAGGGCACGCCTGGTGGAACGCTCGCCAAGGCGCACCCTGGGCGCTGAGACACGCCCACGCAGGATCAGGCCCGGCCTGCCTTACTCCCTCGGAGGCCTGCTGGGCTCAAAGCGCTCTGTCCCGGGAAAGATGGCCGACTGCATCCTCACGTGAAGCCTGCCACCTCCATGATGGAGAGAAGCAAGACGGCATTTCACTGAAGCAGGCAGGGGCATGGTGTCATAAGAGCCACATCGTCCAACTCTCGGCCCAGTCGGCCTCCCCGTGGTC